CAGTATGGTTTTCCGGCCTTGACTCTTACGCACAGAGATTGTTCCAGATTCTCTGAATCTTTGGATGATATTATGCACTGTAGATGATGGTAACTTCAAACTCTTTGCAATTTTTCTCTGAGAAACTCTTTTCTGATATTGCTCCACTATTTTTCGCCGCAGCATTGGTGGAATTGGTGATCCTCTGCCCATCTTGACTTCTGAGAGACACTGCCACTCTGAGAGGCTCTTTTTATACCCAATCATGTTGCCAATTGACCTAATAAGTTGCAAATTGGTCCTCCAGCTGTTCCTTATATGTACATTTAACTTTTCCGGCCTCTTATTGCTACCTGTCTCAACTTTTTTGGAATGTGTAGCTCTCATGAAATCCAAAATGAGCTAATATTTGGCATGACATTTCAAAATGTCTCACTTTCAACATTTGATATGTTATCTATATTCTGTTGTGAATAAAATATAAGTTTATGAGATTTGTAAATTATTCCATTCCTTTTTTACTCACAGTTTGTACAGTGTCCCAACTTTTTTGGAATTGGGTTTGTATCTATCTATCTATCTATCTATCTATCTATCTATCTATCTATCTATCTATCTATCTATCTATCTATCTATCTATCTATCTATCTATCTATCTATCTATCTATCTGTCTGTCTGTCTACTTTGTCTTTCTGTCTGCCATTTCACAAAAAAACATGCAAATACATAAACGTGTGGAAATGGATGGATACTTTATGTTCCATTAATAATATGTATCCTGGATGTTCAATAAAGGGAGATTTTAAACTTAAATGTCTTAAAAAGTATAACAATAACTGTGTTAACTATAGTATTTTGGTGGAGTTACAGGCCCACACACTCACACTGTCTAACTCTCTCTCTCTCTCTCTCTCTCTGTCTCTCTCTCTCTCACCCAAAAAGAAAGAGAAAAACAGTGGGAGGGAAAGACAACTTAAGTGGGAATGTCTCAAATACACATTTTTTCCCTCTCTTTTTGCAAGCTGTCCTGTGTTTTGAATTGCAGGTACTGTTCAGTGCTGTGTGACCGCTGGCAGCCAAGGACCTAACAGACAGTCATCCAAAACAATGATCAAACTATAAATCAGTTTGCCATCAGAAACCTTAAAAAGAAGAAATAATCTGCAAATACATCTCACACATCAGGTAAGATGCTTTAATGCTCTTATTTATCTTTCTGACCTGTTCCCCAGTTTTGTGCACCTGATGAGTTTCCATGGTAACTTAATTCATCTGTTTCCATTGCGACCAGTTCAGTTCTTTGAAAAGCTTACAAAGCTTATTTGAGCTCATAAAAAAAACTATCACTTAAATTAGTTTTAAAATCCTTTAGAAATGTTGTTCTAGTTTTGTGAGTCACTCAGTCATCCACGTCACCTCTGTAATCTTGACAACATTCAGTAATGTAGTCTTTAATTAGCCCATCTCATCTCTTTAATTAAGATGTAATTCAGCTTTGCTTGACCATTTGGCATCATTTGGATATTATACATCTTTAAAGGAAAATCTAGACATCTTAACCTTCTTTTTTAAAAGAAAAAAAAGACTCATCTGCATCAAGCTCATAAGTAGATAAGTGGGTGCAAACTATTTTAGACTGAGGCAAAGACTTTTAATAATTTGAAAAACCATTTCATTCAATAGAACTCTTATTATACTATTAGTAGAATTGTTCTGGCAGTGGTAAAATCAGGCTGTGCATGTCATCATTTTGTGTGCTTTTAAATGAGGTCTGTCAGTTACATAACAGTACATAACACTGTTGTCATATTTTAAGAGGATATGATTTTGGTAAATTACTGGTACATTTGGTACATTATTTGGCCTTATTTCGGTGCATGAATCAGGGTGGCTCTCCAAAAACAATCTGTTAAACTTACCAGTAATGTGGTTCTTCTGCCATTCTGTGGTAAAGGGTGTGGGAGTGAATTTAAAGAGAGAGAAAGAGCTCAGAGCTCACAACACGTGGCACAAAAAAAGAACTAGTTACTGCAGATCTGGATGGTCACAGAATCTAATAAATGTGGATCAGTGGGTCTGCATATGAATGATCTATTTTAGTATTTTTAGTATAATCTATTTAATCTGTTTTAGTAGCATTTGTGCGATTGTAGTATTTATTCATATATTGAATTGGCTTTTATTACTATATTTTCAGTTTTCATTTTAGTTTTAGTCATTTTGTTAAGTGCATTTGTCAATTTTATTATTTTTAATTGATATTTTTATTTCAGCTTTAGTTTTTGTACTAATAAATGTGGATCAGTGGGTCTGCATATGAATGATCTATTTTAATATTTTTAGTATAATCTATTTAATCTGTTTTAGTAGCATTTGTGCGATTGTAGTATTTATTCATATATTGAATTGGCTTTTATTACTATATTTTCAGTTTTCATTTTAGTTTTAGTCATTTTGTTAAGTGCATTTGTCAATTTTATTATTTTTAATTGATATTTTTATTTCAGCTTTAGTTTTTGTCATTTTAGTACGTCAGCTTCATTATTATTTCATTTAGTTATTTCATTTTTTTATATTTATGTTTTATGTTATTTCAGATTAATTTCAATTACTGAAAAGATTTCAATAGTTTTTTATTTTTAGTAACACTGGCGTTTTAATAGAAGAAGAAAAATTACACATGAATATCTCAAATGTTTCTCATACACAATAGTGAGATTAAAAGGAGAACAAATGGAGATTTGCTTGCATTTCAAAAATACACAAAAAATGTTCATGTCTCTCCTTACTATAATTCAGAATTTAACAAAATGTACTCAAATTTGCCAAAATGCGGAAGTCTGAAAATCAGTTTCAGTTTGAACTGATATTCCTCACTAAATTATCTGAGCTATGTAATCCACACATATTTTATAGCTTTATACTCTTACTGTATGCCAACAATTTCCTCATTTATTTCCATTTTTTTATCTTCTAAGGAATTTTAGACTAAACATCTGAGACTGTTGATACTTAAATGAAACAAAGTCCCCTGAGCTATGAAAGAGCAATTAAATTTTCCTCTAGGATGGAACTGCTATTAGTTATTAGTGAGTCAAGTCACATCTATAATTTATTTACATTAATTATGTACATCTGTCACATGTTTCTTCTGTGGAGACATATGATCAAATGCACCAAAAGGACAATATTAGCTAGATATAGTTTTAACACGTGGCACAAAAAAAGAACTAGTTACTGCAGATCTGGATGGTCACAGAATCTAATAAATGTGGATCAGTGGGTCTGCATATGAATGATCTATTTTAATATTTTTAGTATAATCTATTTAATCTGTTTTAGTAGCATTTGTGCGATTGTAGTATTTATTCATATATTGAATTGGCTTTTATTACTATATTTTCAGTTTTCATTTTAGTTTTAGTCATTTTGTTAAGTGCATTTGTCAATTTTATTATTTTTAATTGATATTTTTATTTCAGCTTTAGTTTTTGTCATTTTAGTACGTCAGCTTCATTATTATTTCATTTAGTTATTTCATTTTTTTATATTTATGTTTTATGTTATTTCAGATTAATTTCAATTACTGAAAAGATTTCAATAGTTTTTTATTTTTAGTAACACTGGCGTTTTAATAGAAGAAGAAAAATTACACATGAATATCTCAAATGTTTCTCATACACAATAGTGAGATTAAAAGGAGAACAAATGGAGATTTGCTTGCATTTCAAAAATACACAAAAAATGTTCATGTCTCTCCTTACTAAAATTCAGAATTTAACAAAATGTACTCAAATTTGCCAAAATGCCGAAGTCTGAAAATCAGTTTCAGTTTGAACTCTGATATTCCTCACTAAATTATCTGAGCTATGTAATCCACACATATTTTATAGCTTTATACTCTTACTGTATGCCAACAATTTCCTCATTTATTTCCATTTTTTTATCTTCTAAGGAATTTTAGACTAAACATCTGAGACTGTTGATACTTAAATGAAACAAAGTCCCCTGAGCTATGAAAGAGCAATTAAATTTTCCTCTAGGATGGAACTGCTATTAGTTATTAGTGAGTCAAGTCACATCTATAATTTATTTACATTAATTATGTACATCTGTCACATGTTTCTTCTGTGGAGACATATGATCAAATGCACCAAAAGGACAATAATAGCTAGATATAGTTTTCATCTCCTACTGACGTAGCATCAGTGTAGTTTCAGCTGTAATTCACCTAGACAAAGGACACAAAAATACACTCAAATACACCCATTCTGGGAGAAAAAAACTGACTGTAAATATAGCATGAAGACAGGTTACGAAAAATACACATTTGCACACTTTGATTCATCTGACCCAAACAATTCTTTCCCTGTCTCAGATTTTAGTAACAATGAGATATTTTCCCTATTGTCGATGTGGAGAGCAGATTGGTTTATTGTGACTGTCAGCGAGGCGGTTGCATATTCAAAGCTTAATGAGACCACAGAATGATGGATTTGACCAGAATCAGCTTTTGGATGCAAAGTAGCATTTGTGGTTTTTATAAAAGTGTGGAAAACAATTGTACTGCCATATTTGGAAAGCTTACTTCCTCTGTTTCTCTCTTTTTCGCAGATTAAAAACATAGCAGCCATGTTGTCGGTCTATGTGGCTTTTCTGTTTCTCTGCACTGCCCACCTGCCACTAGACTCTTCCGCCCTTCCATTTGAGCAGAAAGGATTCTGGGACTTTGGCAAGGACATTGATGTGAAAGAGCTGATGCTGATGATGAAGGACCAGGAAGAAGGGTCAGCTGTGGATCCATACCAACCGGAACATCCCACATGTCCATTTGGCTGTCGGTGTGACCTCAGAGTCGTACAGTGCTCGGATTTAGGTGGGCTTAAGATGATATGTGTTTGCAATGGTGTCTTGGTGTAGACAGACAAGATAATGACTGTTTAGTCTAAGAGGTTTGGCTTCTAGACCCAAATTTTATATTGGACAACACAGTGCCAAAATTGTTTATTGCACAAATGTAAAAAATTTCCTTAAAACTAAACTTTGAAAAATACCATGAACTGCATACCCCTAAAAAAACATATATATATATATATATAAACAAATATTAATATAGCATGCACAGGATGAATATGAAAACTAAAAATACTATGGGCTGCTTGAAAGTTTTTTTTTTTTTTTTTTTTGGTGTACTAAATATAGTATAGCAATTTATATTATTTTTATTTTATAGCAATTTTATTTTTATTTAATACAGTTTTTCATTATCCTAACAAACTTGTGACCCATTTTTGGGCTGCAACTCACCATTTGGTAACTACTGGTGTAAAGAGTGAAGTTACACTGGTTTGTGATTAGCATGGTTTGAGTTAAAGGATATCCCGTTTATATCACCCATCTTATCCCAAAATTACTAGCCTGTGACATCAAGGAAAGATCAAAGACCTGCCTATCATATTTCATTTTGAAAATGTGGTATGAATGAGTGTGGTATGAAATGACAATGATTTGAATATGAGTTATATATATAAAACAAAATCAAATGTAAATCAAAGTTCTGACTGAAAGTAGGGAAAGTGAGCAGGAAATTTTGGCTGAAAGCTAAAGAGAAATGTCAGGTTTTAACATCCACATCAAAGGCCTGAATGAGATCAGGATCAAATTTAACTTGAGAACGGATACCAATTCAGACACACCACTAATCTGGCCCATCCACATCAGACAGCACATGTGGTGTGTGGTCGGTCACCTGAGAAGACAGACACTCTGGTTATTCTACTCGGTACAGCAAACGTGCCATAAACTATTATGTCGGTCACCAGGAATGATGGATTTAAAAGCAAATGGACAATTTCTGTGAATGCCAGGTACCACCCAAGCACAGCTGCCCTCTTTCCAAACTCTCTTTTATGAAGTTCATATAATACAGCTATTCTACTCTTTTTTTCTCTCTCTCCACGTTGTAATGTGCTACGTGGAGCCATGGTCATCTGGCTCCATCTTAATTACATGGGAAGCTTAGAGGGGAATGCTAGCACACAACAACAGAGCACAGCAAACACACAGAGTCCCGAAGCCCAGAGAATTACCAAACATTTCCGAAATTATAGCCCGATGAAAAGTTTACAAGTGAACTCAAAGACTCTGGAGTAAATCCTGAAGAAACAGTTTCTTAAATGAACTGCCTTCCTGTTGTCTAAAGGCATCATAATGCTTTTAACTGTTTAATCTTAGGCTGTGTGCTGTTTTAGCAAATTGGAAATAAGAGTGTGCTTTCTTTTACAGTCACGTGACGATGACTGACGATACTTGAGACCCACGCTACTTTCATGTTTACCACACCATGCACTCGTGCTTTCGTTACTTAACTGGTGCCATCTGTCGTTGCATTAATGACCTTAGTGGATTTTTGTTTTAATATTAGCCTATAAAATAGGACTATTTTTTTTCTTAACAAAGGCTGAAATCTTAAAACAATTTAAACTCAAATCAAAATCGAATTGTTTCTTGCTATTTTTTATTGTATTGCTGTAATATCTGGTCACCATTTATAGCTTTTAAAATTAGCATGTACATGTATGTACCATTTTAATTTCATAATATGACAAGTAAAGTTTTAACAAGAAAATAATTAGGGCAGGACTGATCCATTTTATCCAATGTGGCCTTTGCATACATGAAGGTAGACAAGTGCTGGAGGGGAGAGGCAGAAAAATAAGAGGGTTTGGTGATGTCAGCTGAAAAGGTAAGTCAATTCAGAGCCAAAACAAGCCCGCTACATTCCGCTGTGTCAGTGACCAAATGGCTGTACAGTTTGGCAACCACAAGAAATGAAAAAAAAAAATGCACAAAGCCAATCCAGGAGAGCAAGAGGAAAATGCCCATAATTTGTGTAAATCGAGATATTTGAGTGAAGAAGATGAATAAACATTTTCATGGAGGCATAGTTCAGAAGAAACATGGACTCCATTTAAACGGAAGTCAAAGTCCAACCGGTCTATTGAAAACTGAATATTGATGTGTGTAATTCCCTGCTGACATTAATGAATATATACTTTAATTTAGTTGACATACAGCATTGATGATTCCTTGAGATGTCTATCAACAGCTTCATTTGCTTCGTTTTCATGGGTTGCATCTTTAAATATTGAGATAAATTCACAGTTTGTCATTCTGGACGGCTGATTGTCACTCATTCATCATGGTAATACTGTAATAAAGTGGATTGTGTTGTGGATGTTCATCATGCCATCACAAGACAGCCAACATTAAAGGTGACAGGCTATTTATTTCTAACTTTAAAGTCAAGATCCCAAATGCATTCAGTGGATTTAACAATAACCTTCCAGGGGTGGCAGGAGATGTGAAGGTGGAGTACCTAAAACTCTGAAAGGAGAATGTCTTCACAAACAAGTCCTTCTGCTGGTTGTAGGCATGACCACGCCTACAAGGCTTGGCAGAGTCATTTAAATCCTTTTGCGTATAGTTTCTGCCCTTAACGACTAAACAACACGAGAGATGGACTACAAAGAACAGGTACGTTTACAAATATTTACAGAATTAACTCGATGCAGACAGAAATTAATATTTCAATACTAGCCTATAAACAGTCTGTATTATTTCATGGCACGTTAAAAACGGTTGGATTTTTCAAATCAAGACTGCACATTCGAACGAGGTTCTATTAGAAATATCATAGAATGTGTTCTATTTCATTACTAGTTTATTAGAATAGTGTTTTATAACAGGCCTATAGGATTCGCTATCAACCGAGAAGCATTACTTTGTTAGAAAAGTGATTATCAATCGGTTATAAGTAATGTCCTTAAAGAATGCAGCCGTCATATGTTGTCAAACTTGTTCTAAAACCTGTAACAGCTGTAAACGGGTGTAATCTTGACAGACTAAAACTGTCATGCACAGGTTGAGCAGGTTGTATCCACCGCGCAATTCGGAGATTTGGTCGAGTTCTCGTACCCCATTGGCTACGCACACTGGGGCGTGTACGACGGAGATGGATATGTCATTCACTTTGCGGTTGCCGGTAAGCAGGATAACTTATATTTACTTTGATATAATCATGCTATACTTATACAACACAATAATATAGACTACTGTACAAGTGAGATTACATTGTGAGAACTTACCCCAATATAAGGGCATGTTGCCACAAAATGTTAACATCTGATCTTTTATTTTGTTTGTTTGTTTTGTTAGTTAAATGCCTTTTCACAAGTGTAAAATTATTTTGAATTATATATATATATATATATACATACATATATATGTATATGTCTTGCAAACTGTCTCATACCAAATTTGCTTTTTCCAGATGAAACTCAGGTGATGGGTACGTTTCGAAATTGTCTGCAGGCTATCTTCCCTGTTTGTGGTGATCTTTTGCTTGGAGAAACTAAGATTCGGCGTCAGCTCCTGTCTGAAGTTAACGTGCCAAAAGGAGCTCGTGTTTCAGTGAGCAATAACCAGCACGCTCTCGAGCCTTCACCTGTGGATGAAATTAGAAAACGACGAGATGCTTTACTGGACAAAGAGTTTACCTACAAAATCTTCACACACAATTGTGAGCACTTCGCCACATTTGTCCGCTCCGGTAAAGCTATGTGCAATCAGGTGAGTTCATGAATCAGGTATAATTGAACAGTATAGACATTCTGTGTTCTGTACACTTTTTTTTAGGCTATTCTGACATGATGTTGATTCCTTTGTTTTAACAGATTCCAGGGAAGCCCAAAAACAAGGAATGTGTGGAATCTACACAATTATTTAGCTACCTTGTGCCATCGAGTTAACCTACTGAATACCAACAGCTACAGATTATCACAATAATAATATATTATGTTTGATTAAGGATATTTCTCACGCACTCGTTAAGATTCCTGTTTGATGTCATTGAAAAGGGTTCTTCACACTGATCTGTAATCGTACGGTATATAGATCAGTGGTTCCTCACTTTCTTCAGTGTGCCTTGAGGTCTTGTTTGGTCTCCTAGCCTTGCCTGTTGGCTGGTTTTAAAATGGTTTTGGGTTCAGGCCAGGAGACCAGCTTGGTTATGCAGGAAGACCATATTATACAAACCTATACCAGCTTACACCTGCTTTTTTCAGCAGAAATGCAGTCAAAATGTGCATTGAATGTTTAGTAAAGGTGTTCACATGTTTCTGACCGTCCTTTTCACATTTCTAACTAATATGGCACATAATATTACCAGTTTACACCACAGTTACAAAAACACCATTAAATTGCTTGACAAGTGCAGGTTTATTGCCTGTGTTAATGCATTGTCTATTACAACAGAAAGTCTGGGAAATATCTAAGAGTTCATCTTTTTGAAATAGCCAACACCCAGCAAACACAGAACATTCCCTTAATGTTAGCATATGGTTCCGGTTTAATTATTATTTTTTTGGGTCCAAATAATGTTCAAAGAACGTTTTCTGTAGGTTTTTGTAACTAAAAAACGTTTGTTGTAACCATACATGTGCTTTGCTACTTGTTAGTCAGCTGCAGGTGGCTGTTTGACCAGAATAGACCATACGTTTGAAGTATATCTGCTAAAAGTGAATTTTCTGTAAAAAAAAAAAAATCAATTTTGATTTTACTGACTTCAAATCAGCCACAAGTGGAGAGAAAGAAATTAAACAAAATCATCAAGATTATAAAAGCTTCTTACAGGGTTTAAAATGAAGCCATTTTTATTAAGCTTTTACATTAGTAACAATGACTAGTAAGCTAATTGTATTTTAGAACATTCCCTTAATGTTAGCATATGGTTCCGGTTTAATTATTATTATTTTGGGTCCAAATAATGTTCAAAGAACGTTTTCTGTAGGTTTTTGTAACTAAAAAACGTTTGTTGTAACCATACATGTGCTTTGCTACTTGTTAGTCAGCTGCAGGTGGCTGTTTGACCAGAATAGACCATACGTTTGAAGTATATCTGCTAAAAGTGAATTTTCTGTAAAAAAAAAAATATCAATTTTGATTTTACTGACTTCAAATCAGCCACAAGTGGAGAGAAAGAAATTAAACAAAATCATCAAGATTATAAAAGCTTCTTATAGGGTTTAAAATGAAGCCATTTTTATTAAGCTTTTACATTAGTAACAATGACTAGTAAGCTAATTGTATTTCGGATGAAAGTTGAAACTGGTTACCATGGTGATTTTTTTCATAAGGTGAAGGGGCAATGCAGTGTTGTGTTTTATACCATTAAAAAATATATTTATATTCTATACAAAGACCTATTCTGATTCACTTTTTTCTTGTACATTTATTCGTAAAAAGAAGAAGCTTATTTACACATCACGCGAGTTTATTGTTATTTCTGTAAAGACGAAGCGTTTCCTACATTCCCCGGATGTTGCCCCACGCTTGCTCAATGTCCCGGATGTTCCTACATTTTAGTAGAGGAACAAAAAATGGGCTCATTATCAAGCTTCACCAAACCGTTTAGATTATCCCCACACACGATTATTGTACATGTATGAGGACCAGGCCGCAGCTCTGAGCAGAGTCCACGTCCGTAGTCTCCGTGTCTGTAAAGTGATTAATGAAATCGAAGAGGTAAGACAGTTGTGTACATTCAGTGTTGCTACACGCTGTTGACGTTAGCAAGCCAACAGTCAGTTGCTAAGCGGAGTTTATATCAATAACAAATAACGTTTAAGTTTCTGTAGGAATATAGAAACATTAGAGGGGATCGCAATAAAATATTGACAGTAAAATATGTTTTCTTAAAAGATCACGGTGTTCTTCAGCCACTCCTTGTGAATGCTAAGCATCAGGCTAACACACAGCTGTCCAGATAGATTTCAGAAGATTGTTGATGTGTAACTGCTTATTCATCAGTCGTTTCTAGTCTTTAAACTTGCATATGAATAGAGCATATGTTAGTGTTTTTAAAGCCATGATATGGAAGTCAGATGATTGATGCATTCTGCTATTTTGATATTCTCTCTCTTAAATCTGGTCGATGTTAATTAGTAGGCTAACCAGGTCAGTAACTTCACTGTTCCTCTGCCTAAATATTTTGTCTACCATTATTTACTAGATTTATTAGATCAAAACTGAACAAACAGGGTTAAATACAAGTTTTCTATAGTAGTTAAACTCTAAAAGGTTCTTAAATTGAAGCACTGTCTGTAGATGTGATCAAATGTATAATCTCTATGATTTTAAAAGTAGATGAGTTATCAGAATATTTAAACTGTATGTTTCATATATTGATGTGATAGTATGTACCCTGTTTTTATATGTAGATCTGATATCAGAATATATAATGGGTATGATTTTAAATGTTTAATGTTATATCAGAGTATGTTATATACAGAATATAAATAAATGTTTTTAATAAGAAGATGTAATATCTGAGTATAAAATCTAGAAACTTTAAATGTTGATGTGTGATATCAGATTGCTTATGATCTATGATTTTCTGTGGTTGTGATACCAGAATTTGTATGTTAAATTGATATTAGAATGTATACTCTTTCTTTTATATGTAGATGTGAAATTAAAATAAATAATCTTTTCATTTGCAGATGTGAAATCAGAATACACAATGTATATCATTTTATCTGTAGTTGCGATGTGAAAACATGACCCGTTTTTAATTTGTTGCATGATTGAGCAATGACAGCTCTGACAGTAAGTCTAAAAAAAAACAAAAAACAGTTGAGCAATAGATCTGTTTAAAAAGCCGTGTAGAATAAACCCAGGTCATGTGGTAATGTTTGGCAATTTATTATTCAATATGTTATATGAGTCTGTAATGCTTGAACATTCATTTTATTCTCTTCTAGAGATAAGTTGGAGGTGAGAGTTGCGGGCCGAGTGTGTTGACACAGTTGGAGCTGCTTCACACTGCTGACAGGGCCTTCCGCCATCCCTTCACCCGTCATCTGCCTAGCGAAGAGTGATGACCTCACAGCAGCATGGGAATGCCAACCCTGCCCTCCTCTCGCCACAGAACTCTTCATCAAGTCAGGGCAGGCAACACATTTCTCGTTCCCCGATAGACTCGTATTCCCACTCCGGGCTTTCCTCTCCTCGGAGAGGCTGGGTTGCAGCGTCCTCATCCACAACAGCTCATGGTAACTCTCTTGCGCTCTCTCTAAGCCGATTGGCTCCGGCTTCCTGCAGTATTTCCTCCTCGTCTCGGAAACCTGCGTCCGGCCGGGTGGAGCCGTGGCCGGAGGAGGCTGTGGATGACGCATATGGGCTTTACTCTCTTCACCGCATGTTTGACATTGTGGGCGCGCAGCTGACGCACCGTGATGTACGTGTGCTGTCCTTCCTTTTTGTGGACGTTATTGACGAGTACGAGAGAGGAGGGATACGGAGCGGGCGGGATTTCCTGCTCGCCCTGGAGCGTCAGGGGCGATGTGACGAGACAAACTTCCGGCATGTTCTTCAGCTGCTCCGCATCATCACTCGACATGACCTGCTGCCGTACGTCACGTTGCGCAAGAGACAGACAGGTTTGTGATCTTGTCGATTTCACTTTTGAGAGATGATTATTATGTACCTGAAGATACAGTTTCATCACTTTGCAATATGTTTTGGCAAGGTGCACAAGTAACGTGTTGCAAATTATTTTCCAGTGTGCCCAGATCCAGTGGATAAATACCTGGAGGAGACGTCAGTCCGTTATGTTTCTCCCAGAGGAGCAGGAGAAGCCCAGCAGGGAACTCCTCACAGAAGAACAGGTGGGTGCTACCAGTGGTTCTCAAACCTGTCCTGGACCCCAGCCCTGCACATTTTGTATGTCTCTCTCATCTATCACACCTGATTCAACTCACCAGCTCATTAGTGGAGACTGCAAGACCTGAAGTGGGTGTGTCAGATATAGGGAGACATACAAAATGTGCAGTGCTGGGGGTACTCCAGGGAGAGGTTTGAGAACCACTGCTTTAGACTTCTCATTGGTGCCATAAGCATTTTTTTTTTGACTGAAATACCACATTTGTCACTCTGTAAACTTTAGAACGGTCTAATGACTTGATTAGCCAATCAGAACTTTTGATGCGCTTTACAGTACAGAACATATATGACATTCAGGAAGCTTAGGTTTTGAAGTGGGCAGGGTTTCGGTTTAAAGAGACGTGTCTAATTCAGTGGCTAATGGTCCGATCAAGTTCTCCTGGAAAGTTCATATTTCTGAATAGGGAAGTTGTAATTAGGAAATCAGGTGTGTTCATGTCACTTTGGTTTATCGCAATAAGGCGATGTAACTTTTCTTGAAAAAGATCAGCAAAATCTTTTAACTAGACTGACCGGATATGCCTTTTTCACGGACACGTCCTGGCCAGGATTTCTATATTGGCTAAAATATCCAGGTTTTGGTTTCGTTTTCCTGTTTTCATTCTTGCTGAAGGTAAAGATCAAAAAGTAGTTTGACCAGTAGCATGCAGGCATTGTACATAGTCAACCAATCAAACGTTTTTTTCAAGTGGAAACAAGCGGTTTTCATTCAGTCACTCAGTATGTACATTTAATAATGTTAAAAAAGTTTAATATTTATGAATTCGATTTATAAACTTATCCATTTCGTTGTGAATGCAGTGCGCTTCCAGAGAGAGCCCGCCCACACAGGCTTTTGATTGGCTGTGATATATGATTGATTCTGACATGTTGTGTTGTCGTGGCATGTCTAGTGTGGACAACCAAATTGCTTGTCGCTGGAATCTTGTCGCGTCGCATGTAGTTAGGACACGGTGTAAGTTTGGAAGATTTTCCAGAATAACAAATGGCTGGAATACACTACGGAATAGTGTTGGGTTTGAGTCCACCTAAGTTGAGTCCAAGTCGAGCCCGAGTCTTTAACCAATCGAGTCCGAGACAAGTCTGAGTCCAAAATGGGCCGAGTCGGACTCAAGTCCGAGTCCCAAACAGCCGAGTACGAGTCGAGTCCGAGTCCAACGAAACTCTATTATTTATTAATATCTTAACGTTGTTTTAACCTTTACAGATACAAAAACGCAATGTCCATTTAAATGTAACAAAAGCAAACTTCTATTGCATCTTGCCATTTTGATTTTTGTTTAAATATTAGTGTCCTGCTTTGCTTAGCAAACTTAAAGTCATGTAACAGAAGTTATGGCTGAATTGATTTATGTATTCTGACATATTTCAGAGTAAAACAGGTTTTAGAATGTGAAAAATTAAAGGGCGGGACTTCACATTTATCGTTAAAGTAAATGTATAAATTCAAGGGTGGGTGTAAAGGAGTAGGTATCTTGGTGAATGGGACCTTAAGAGCAGAAAATGCACCTTTTATCTCAATAAAAGCTTTATATAATTTTTAATTTTTTTTTATGAAATATGCATTTTGAATAGTCAAAATTAGTTTGTCTCTGCTTATTCTATTCTTCAGTGTTTGAACCATTAAAGAAGAAACTGCATTTTAATTTCTGGGTAAAAAAAAGAAAACCGAAAAATGAACGCCAAAGTACACTGACCCCTTAGACAGGGTATTTTTAATTTTTGCTTGGATGAAAATGAGGCTGTGAGGGATACACCTAGTCTGTACAATGGCACGCAATGTGTATAAAAGCCCTACATATACTTTCCATAAGTCACAGGCAACTATCTTGGTGAATGGGACCTTAAAAGCAGAAAATGCACCTTTTATCTCAATAAAAGCTTTATATAATTTTTAATTTTTTTTTATGAAATATGCATTTTGAATAGTCAAAATTAGTTTGTCTCTGCTTATTCTATTCTTCAGTGTTTGAACCATTAAAGAAGAAACTGCATTTTAATTTCTGGGTAAAAAAAAGAAAACCGAAAAATGAACGCCAAAGTACACTGACCCCTTAGACAGGGTATTTTTAATTTTTGCTTGGATGAAAATGAGGCTGTGAGGGATACACCTAGTCTGTACAATGGCACGCAATGTGTATAAAAGCCCTACATATACTTTCCATAAGTCACAGGCAACTCACACCTGTTTTATTTTTGAATGCATTTATAGTTACATTAATTACAATAAATTACATTATATAAGGAATAATTGATGACGGGCCGATAGAATTATTAGAAAATAATGCACACCCAAGGCGATTTTGGACCCATGAAAACTATTGCCGCAAAGATGTTAGAAAAATTATTTTTCTTTGAAGCTAGTAACTGCCACTAATACAAAAGCAAAAAATAATAAACTAATGTAATAAAACATTCTCAAGCTTACTGAAGGCAAGTAAACACTCCAAGTATTACTTAAAAGCTAAATGATAAATAAATGTATTACTCAAAAATATAAATTAAATGTTTTTAAATGTTATTATTATTATTTTTTTTAGTTTTTCAGATTGTAGCCTAGTAAAGTCTTCTAGAAATAGCCTACTACGGACATTTCATGAAAATGAAAAATGTCAAAAATAATCTTCACTTTATACAATAAATAGAGATGATTCTTATTAAAGTTAATAAGTGATTCAGTCAAAAGCAGTGAGTGATTTTCTCCTTTTCTTTTGTTTGATTAAAGGGGTCATATGATGCGTTGTTGTGCTGTTCTGTTGTAAATAAATCTTAACCAATGATTCCTAATTGCGTCTACTTCCGGAAGGCCAAATAAAGTGCTTTGATTTTGCACTGAAACTCACACCGTCTCCCTGACATGGCTGCATCAACACTACTGCTGTTCCTGAAACCACGCCGCCTTTCTTTGCGTGCACATTTGGGCGGCATTATGCTAATATTTCCACATAGTGAGGTAGATATGTGGGGGCGTGTTAGAACGAGCCGTTTTAGGTAGGTGTGGCTGACTCTTAACTTTTATAAAGAATATCTCTTTGGATTTGAGACTTTAGTCTTTGCAACTTTACAGATCTTCTTTATGCACCAAGAGCTTGTAACACTCCAAAGAGAAAGGGAAACTTGAAATCGCATCATATGACCCCTTTAACATTTATGAAGCAGTTGGCGGCTGCAGGTTTACGCTGTTGCTTTAATATTAATATATTAATTATAAAATATTTTGATCTTTCACTTGAGAAAACCGACTGCATTTACATGAATAGTCTCCAAGACGGGCATTTTGACAACTTTTCGTGTCAGTGTGTTGTAATAACAGAACTTAACAGAACCTAAGCGAAAGAACTCGGCATTCGCACACTGACTGAAGAGGCGCGTTATTCTGTGAGCGCGCTTTCGGTGTGTGAGCACAGAAAACCGTCAGCTTTCAAGTACTGGACAAGACTTAAAAGCACATGCAAATACTGAATATCACTTTCGTGATAATGCATTGAGTCAGTGACATTTCCGTCAACTGTCCCTGGACTCGGTTGGACTCGGACATATTTTCAGAGTCCGAAATGCTCGAGTCCAAGTCAAGTCCGAGTAAAAAACTGTACTCGAGACCAGACTCCAGTACAAGTCCGAGTACCCCAACTCTACTACGCAACATTTAAAATATGAACAGATTTTGGATCAGTAGGCATCATGCACTTGCTGGGTTTGTAAATGGTTACAAAGAATCAGGATCACACACTACCAGACTTTCAGCCAATTCTTAAACCATGTAAAAATATTAAACACGTTTGATAACTTCCCACTGGATAGAACTAGTCTGAAGCAAAAAAATCGAGTCTGTGCTTATCATAAACTACATGATTTTCTGTTAAATCTGTCAACTCCAACTGCCCAAAATCTGACTTGTTCTGACGTTCTCAAATTGAGGCAAAAGCTGTGTCGTGTATTCCAGTCGTAACCTAATCATGATCGGTGGAAATGTATGTACCACAAGCGAGACCGATATTGTGGTAGGGATTTTAACAATGTTCTGTTTCTCAGGACCCCAGCCATTGATCTGCTGTCCTCCATCAGGACCCCAGGTATGCCCACCCCGTGCTAAACCAACCCCACCTCCGCCGAGCAGGAAAAGGAAGAGATCTCACACGACAGCTGACTGCAGAGAAAAACAGACCTGTGGTAAGACAACAAATCTGCTAAAGAGTGACAAAAGATGCTCACACAAATTAATGGCTCAGAAAGAGAAGGTTTGACTCTGTGAGATGAGATATTAATTGGGTCATAACCTCACCATTTTACCCAAAAAGTTATTTGTTTTATTTACAGTCAAGCAATGATAAAACACATTTGGATCGGGCTACTTGGCGGCACTCCTCCCCAAATTTTGCCTATAAGAAGTCACTTGAATAAAACACTTTGTTTGTAAAATCTTACATTATGAACATCTTGGCAGCCTCTTTGAAAGTTTCTTTAAAGCCAGTCAGTCAGATTAAAACTGACCATTTTAGCCAGCACTTGCCTTTATTCTCCATATATGTACCATTTGAGCATATGACCTCTGACAAGCAATGTTCCTGAAATCTGTGTCCTTTGTAGGTGGACATAAAAGCCACATTTTTTTTTGTTTTTTTTTTTTAATTTTTTTTTTTAAACCTTCTTCCTTGTCTCACAGACATACGACTGAGGGT